ACAGTGGACACACAGTGGACAGACACACAGTGGACACACAGTGGACACACAGTGGACACACAGACAGTGGACGGACAGTGGACAGACACACAGTGGACAGACAGATAGTGGACGGACACACAGTGGACAGACAGTGGACAGACAGACAGTGGACACACACACAGTGGACACACAGTGGACAGACACACAGTGGACACACAGTGGACACACAGTGGACAGACAGCAGGGACCCTGTGATGCAGCAGAATGTCTTGTAGTGAGTGTGGAAGATGATCAGGGGCGATCGTCTGTTGTTGACTCACGGTGACAAAGACTGAAAACTGATTTGAAGAAACGTATTTCGTTTGTCTCTGATCAAACTGAATTCAGATCCTGAAACGTTGTGTCTTACTTTCACTCTGCGTCTCTGGAATGTTCTTGGACATGTTTCCTGCTTCAGTCTGGTCCTGTGGGGACATCAGGAGGACTTCAGTGGTTTCTCATGCTCAGTGAATGAGGTTCCACAGAGAACCAGATTAATTCAGGTCTGACGACTCAGAGGAAGAAGATTGTACGTTTGTTCAGGGGATATTTGATGTTTTATATCTGATAACGTTTCCATCAGACGTCTTCATTCTTCCTTTGCCTCAGAGCAGTGTCTCTGTCAGGGTGGTTCACATCCAGGTTTATTTACAGCACAGTCTAATTATCGTTTACTGTGAATTATGCCGATGACGGGTTTCACTCTAACATTTCATTAAAGTTTCAGGATTTGAGAGAGAGATGGGACGCTGTGTGGCCATGTTGTTTTTAAAGGACCCAGTGATGGGAGACATGTCCAGATGTTATATCAAGATAAAAATGTTCATATCAGTCGATAATGATAAATATCACTGTGAATATTCTGCTCTGTTACAGATGTGCATCAATGAAAATTATATTTCAATATTAATTTACCTGATGGATTATAAGCAACATGGAAAGACCAGGGTGACGTTCAGTAATTTCATTATTTTTGTGCTGACTGTTAAGATCTTTTATGTTAAATAAGCAAACAGAAGAATTTAAGTAAATTCTTATTTCCATGTTACTTAAGTAGAAACACATTTAACTGTGCCAACCTTCCCCCCTCTGTGGGGACCTGGATATTTTTACACCTGTGTTAGTTGACTCGTGTTTTATTTGATAAGCTCCTCCCTCTCCTCAGACTGTCCATCGCTGCAGATCCTCTTTTCAGCCTCTGTTGCAAACTCTTGGTTTTAGCACCTGTCTCTTTAAGAACCCCCCCCCCCCTCGAAAAGCCCAGTCCTGTGTGTGTGTGTGTGTGTGTGTGTGTCGGGGAGGGAGAGAGATAGAGGACGGGAGAGAGAGAGAGAGATCATTGCTCCATAAAGGCCCTGCAGGTATTGTCCTGATCCCGCCCCTCCCCCTCACCTGTACGTCTGTGAAACTTGACTCTCAGAGTTTCACTTCCTGTTCTGATCTCCGTCACAGCTCAGGAACAAAACTTTGGCTGAGGAGCCGCCGTGGGTCAAAGGTCACAGCCATTAATGTCGCTGGACATTTCTTAAAGAATGAAACTAAAGAAGCTAAAGTAACAAGATGTCACATTTAACTGAGAATAATAAATCACATAAACCATTAATCTGATGTCACTAATAACGCTTCAAGTCTTTTAAATATTCAGTTCACTACATATGAATTATATATATTATATGTTTTATGTGTATTTATAGTGTGATTATGTCTCAAGTAAAGGACTGAAGCTTTTTTTATGATTTATGAAACCTTAAAGGTTTATTTAAGTTTTTAGTTTTATTCCCCAAATCCAAAATGTTCATTAAATTTAGTGTAAAAGCAACAAAACAACATCAGACAACGTCGATCAGGCTCCACATTTTCATTGTTTTCACCATTATGTCTTTTATATCAAATCTTTAAAAGATGAGGGACGCAGACAAACAGTGAAATCGTGTTTTTCTTAAACATGAAG